GCGGCTCGGAGGGGCGGGGCAGGGCGAGCAGAGCTCATTTGCATTTAAAGCAGCATGCAAGAAAACAGCTTGCTCTGAATAGAGCTGTTTTTGACGGTAAAAACGGTGCTATTTTACACTACCATTGAGAAATTTTAACTATGTTACAGAATTTTCATTAAGACCTTAAAGAATCATATCAACTTGTGGAAAATGGGCATCCTATGACCCCTTTCAAAAAGTACAAGTACTCCAAATAAATAAATACATGAATAAATAAAATAAATACAGGACATCCAAAGATAATGCTTGAAAAATTACACAGTGGAGACGATGGTAACCCAAACAACACCTATTGATGAATCAATGTCTTTTTGAGTTAAATGATAGATGTGTAAGAAAACACACAAATACTAATATTTTAAACTTTACCGTCATGTTCACTTTGTGTGGTTTCTGAAGCAGTCCTGTACACTTGCATTATGTGCACACACTAACCGTCCAGCATGTTTAGATAGAAAAACAATTGAAAAGCAGTGTAATGCACAAAAAAAAGCCCCTTTACAAAACCTCATAGAAAGTATTTCCCGCTACATTAGTCAATTAAACAATAGTTTTGGTGTGTAAGGGGGTTTGTGGATTTAATTATGTGCATTTCTGCTTAACAAACTAATGATTCCCTATTAGAACGTTTCAATTAATTTGTTCAGCAGAGCATTTAGAGTTCACTCTCAAAGGAAGCTTCCTCTTCTGCTGTGATTTTCACATGACCCTGAGCTTACTTGTTCTCATTCACACATCCATGTACGTTCTCGCCCTCTCTTTCTCACTCTCATTCACTCATTCTGATCACATATGAGGCAAGAGCCCGATTTCCAGACAGCTCACCACACAAGAATGCTCACAAATTACACAAGCGGAGAAAGTGTTGTTTTTTCCACTGTTCTCGAAATCAACCACCACTAAAATATTCCTCTTACCCAACTCAAATCCGATCGTATTGTGGGTAAAATGCTTTTCCAACAGTTTGAAAAATGTCCATTTCACACATACTGTCTGCTCAGTGCAGTTCAGTTGAATTTAATTTGTTTCATTTAATTATTACCTGGAACAAAAGAAAGTGTAAAACTACGGTACAAAATCTATTTTTGGTTCCTGCTCTACTTGCTTAAAGCATAAGCACAAGTCAATGGCAGCCATGTTGACAGTGGAATGGTGTTACTCTTGAAAAATGTTGAGGAGATACACCTGAGACAAATGTGGTTAATGCAATAATATTCCCATTGCTGCAGAATCCTATTACAGCAGCATAATTAGGTGGTTATCAGACATATTATCCTCAGAGGAGCATCATGATTGGCAGATTATTTTGGCCTGCTAAACTAGACAGAAACAACTGATCCAATGAAGTCAGTGATGGCTGACCTGTATATAAGCCTCAGGCACACAGTGTAGTGTGCTAATGTGGACACGTTCGTTTGAATGGGATTAATGGGATTTTAAAAACAATTGGTGGCTGACTAAATACTTTTTTGCCCCACTGTATACCCCCCATGATTACATTGCAATGAATGATGTAACATAAAAACAACCTGCCCTTACTGAGTAAGAATAGTTTCTGACAGTAACCATGTTATATATTTTTTTGTAATCCACTCACACCATCAGTGATAACAAATCCTAATTCTCTTGGAGTCAAGGTTTCCAACTGGTGCTTCTCTCATTAGGCTGGAATTTTGAATTTGTTATCAGCCTACAGCCATTTTTTCCTCACATTTGGACAAATATGATAGATCATTTAGTAATAACTAATACCTGTCTCAATTAATTGTTTAACACTTGTTAAAATATTGACACCATGTATGTTACAACATTATGAAATCAGAAGGCATGGCCACTCCACAATCATTTGCCTTTTTAACAAAATATCCTCCTGAGAACCAGAAATAAAAAGCTTTGTGAATGTAGTATTTTTTCATGTCATTACATTGTTTAGAGCATAAGAAAAAAATGGTAAAATAACATTTTTGAAAAATTATATTTTATTCCTAAGTTATGATATGTCCTCTGTAGAGGACACCAGGACTAAGTTTTTCTAAAAATAAAATGACAAGAGTAGACATGAAAAGGTAAAATCAATGGGAATTTCTTTTAAATCACCAATCAATTTTTAGGTTTCAGGATTTTTTTTATACCTAACTTTGTTTAAGGATGGTTATCAACTATGTTATAAAATATATAACAAAATTTGATATACTATTTAGCTTTATGCAATATGTGTGTAAAAGTTCCATAAACTGGTTTTCCCATTAAGCACAATGTTATCTATACACTGTATCTAATTTGCATATTAAAGTGCTGTTGGGACAGCATGTTGAAAAAAGAAGTGTAATAATCGGAGTAGTAATTGGCCAGATTTTCATAATAATATCTAATATTTCATAAGAATATTGATATATAATTTGTTTTCCTATTCAATTCTTTTGTCTCCCAAAATGTATAATAAACATGCTTTTAGTCCTGGTGTCCTCTACAGTGGACATGTATGAAATCATGTCCTGTTTCATAACAGAAGGTCATATTTTGATTTGAAACCCCATAACATTTTCCTGAGATGTTGATTTATGACAAACAATTTGAAAATGAATCAGATTTAAATTATAATTACAAAATATTATCATATTTCCATAACGATGTACAATTTTATCACTAAATTAATGTCAGCTATTTTTAAAGACCAAGGAGAGGGAGTGGTCATGGTGAAACATCCAATCATTTGGTATCTCTGGAAAGCACTGAATGTGCTCTGTACAGGACATCCAGACTTACAACTGTGACGTGTGAGGTCTCAGAGAAATTCACTAAAATATAATGTCCACTACAGAGGCAAAAACTCCATAGCTGGGTCTCAGGAGGATATTAAAGTTAATAAGGAAGAATGAATAAGAGAAGAATTTTCCTTAGTCTATAAACAGTTTATACAATTCCATTTCATCCATAAGAGGCACAACATCACAAAGGACTGGACTGGAATTCTTCAGTGCTGTTGATTAGCCTCATTAAAGACCATCACATCATATGACAAGTATGAAATATCAAGGGTGCAATCTAAAGAAATTGAATTGCTATAGCGCTATAGTATGCAACAATTAGAATCTTTGCATATTCTCAAAATATTCAGAATATCATTAAATATATAGTATTAGAATTAACAATGGTGGAGGTATGGCCAGAGCCAGGGGAACAAAATAGAAGGTCTCCCAGAGAGACAGCTGCACTGGTCAAGTCAGATTAACAATAGGTGTAAGAGAAAACCTTAAACTTGCTGTAGCTTTTGATCTCAACTCAGGGCAACTAATGTTAGTTGTCCCCATGACAATGAATGTTGGCCTTTGTGAGTTGGATGCAATGTTTGTTGTCTTCTGATTGAAGTCAAATTTAACATTTAATATAATTGAACAATTTAATCCATCGTCTGTCAAAACTGCAAACAGAGATACACTTTGTATCTTGTTTATTTCCTCTAAACAAGCAATGTGTTAAAAGACTAATAATGCATTATTGATGCAGGATGCCTGTAATGTTCTAGTAATCTTGAAGGCCTTGATTAGCTTGTTTAGGCATGTTCAATGTTCAATCCGGCCTCTGTCATGGTAAGTTTGGGACAATTGTATGTATATTAAAATAACAAATTCTTAAAAACAAGTGCCATATTAAAAAGAGGGACGAGTCAAATGACACCTAGATTACAATTTTTACAGAGCTTTAATGTTGACTCATAAATCAAGCTTTGTTTTTTTCTAACATCACAAGATTTTGAGTCGAGTTTCAGGAAGTTACAGCTCATCCAGTAATTGATGCCACAGAGAGATGCAGCAAGGAAACAGAGAAGTGGTGTTTCAGAGCCGGTGCTGAAATCTGAATGTCATCAGCTTAGTAGTGAAAGTTGAGACCATGTTGATTGATGATATCAGCTTAGAGAAACGAAAGTGAAGAAAAGAAAAATGTGCCAAGTACTTAACCTTGGGGAACACCTTGTGTAAGAGTGAAGAAATAGTAGATTTGTGCTTCCATTAAATAACCATTTGAATGATGTAATAACATTAGAAACTAAACACACAAGAAGTTACAGCATTTTGGGAGTAGATGACCACATCTCAGTGCCATTAGTCTTTGAATTTCAGCATAATGTTTAAAGTAATCATTAGCCATCTTCAGCACAGCTGCCGTTGCATAATCCTGCTTAAACAAGCAGGAACATCTGAAAACAATTGGCCACAATGACCCATCTCAGCTACACAGGAAGTACACAGACTTAACACTGATGAGAGCACAGCTTAAAAAGTTGACTTGAACATATCCACTTCCTTCAAGACAGAGGTCCACATCACATTTTGTTCTCTAGTACTCTACATGCTATTATATACTGCGTGGCCATTTATAAGAGTAATTACTAAAGATATTAATTTGAGGTTTAGACAGCTCACTAATGGTCCCATTGTCTCCACATTTAGGTTCAGGTAATGAGACGGTATTAAATGCCCATGCAAACCATTGATCTAAAGGCAGCCTGATCTATGCCTCCAAACTGTAAGGGTCCAAATTCAAATGATACAGGAGAGTTTGCTAGCCTCGCTAATAACTTAACTATGTGAGCTGTTCAAATTTGTTCCAAATAAGTCTAGTCATAAATTCATTCAGAGTTTTTACAGAAATAATTCTGCTTAAATAAGACATCTGATACTCAGTAGAAGTGCCAGAGTGCAGTACCACCAATTCCTGCCAAATTCGGTGAGGAAAACACGCAATCCAACACTGTCGATAAGATCACTAGCCAGGTAACTGTAGAAAACGGTTCATCAGGAGACCAAAAACCTGATTCCACATTAATCTTTAAAATTCATATAGGATGACAAACTCTTAGAGACGGTATCTAACAGGTGTGACGCACACCCTGTTCCAATTAGAATTATGCAACGATTAGTCTGTGAAAGTACGTCAAAGGACAACTGCAAGATACGTAGTTCAAATGACTTTATTTGCTCCCAAAAGTACACCAATTTCCCAAATGAGTTAAAAAACAAAACTACAAGTTGTCATGATATTGACCATAAACAAAGGGTTTCCTCAGAATGCAGTAGGTTCAAGTTGTTTGTAACAATGAATATTGCTGATTTAAGTCCCACACAAGACACCATTCCTCCATACCAGCCCAATAATTTCATGACATGACCACTTAAAGACCACTTATGAACACTTAACATGCCCTCCACTTAAAGAGAAAAAAATTGTATATTGAAAAACTTACAAAATAAGAAACTGTATTATAACTAGACATTTCATTGGCACAAAAGTTAAAATCTACAAGTTTATAAAGGGGGCTATTCAGGACCACGTAGGACCAGGTAAAACTGCATGCATTGATGTTGTGTGTATCCCGTGTTACAGCACAACTGATTAAATTATATGGTCCCTCGATGAAAAAGCTCATGATAAAGGTGTGACTTCATTGCGTAAAGCAAATTTCTAGAGAGACCGCAATCTAATCATGCGCTCAGAACACTATCTGCCCTGTGAACACGGAGGACTCTGCGGTTAAACCATGTGAGCACATGAGATTTTTATTCCCTCTACAGAGGGAGCACATGTAAACAATGTGCTGTGCGCTAGCAAATCTACTGAAGCAAATAAACAGGCATTTCGCACCATCTACTACTGGCAGATGAGCTCCAGTCTTAGAAATGCAAAAGGAACGCTGAAGCAGGCATGTACCGATTACGATACGATCACACTGGAATGGCTCATGGGGTGATGTTTGCAAAGAGCTATGCGTAAGTTGTACAAGCATGCAGAGCTTAGCTTAGTGTTTGAGGTCAAACTTGATAGAAAGTTCATCCTTTGATCATTCAATATCTTTTAGAGTAAACAAGAACACACTGACGATACTTAATCATTCAAAAGGAACAATAAATAGAATGCAACAGGTCTTGTGTTGTCAGTTTTTCACTGGATGTGGTGAGGAAGTCAGTCAGGCCAAGGCAAGAACTACGGAGAGAGCGAGAAAGAAAAGAAAAAAAACAGTATAGAGGAGAATGAAAATGTTTCTGAGAAGATATATGTTGGAAGGTTAAAGAGATACATACCACTAATAGCCTCTAGAGCAAAGTACTTAACATCCATATCTTGGTCTGTAGCTAGTTTCTCCAGGACTGGTTTAACCTCAGCCTGCAAAGCACTGTTGAATATATCAGTTAGTATTGCTGCTGGTTTGTTTGCTTATACCATCAAGAACAATAGGGTGTAGGCAGCTATTATTTAAAAATACCTGCTGTCCAAAACTGGTCCGATCTTCTGTAAGCACCTAGCCACATTGAAGCGCACATTGGCCACCTGATCAGTGGACATCTTGAGAACTACAGGCAACATGTGCTTGGTGGTGATTTCCTGTCCACATACTTCAGACAGAGCCTGACCCACCCCCACCCCCAAAAAAGGCTTTCAGTTAATCCCATTTTGCAACAACAGATACTGATGTAATGACTTCCAACTGTAAGAACATTTAGTTTTTTTGTTTTCACCAGTCAGGGCATCCAGACTTACATTGATGCAGAAGAGAGTGGTCATCCTGTGCAGGTAGTTGGAATCATTGGCCATGCCAAGGACTTTGGGCACAATGGTGTTCTGGGCCCATTCTGCTCCAAACTTCTCCACCAGCTTCATGAGGTTGCAGGTGGCAGCCTCTCGGATGGCATATACTGTAGAACAAGGCAAAGATACTAATGTTAACTCATATGCTAACATGAAGATCGAGATTGACATGAAGATGAAAACAGATTTAGATGCATGTAATTTTTCAGGCCACACCACCAGATTTACAGCCCACTGCCATACAACCTGGAGACATACAGTTGTGCTCATAAGTTTACATACCCTTTGAAGAATATGCAATATGTTAATAATTTTCACAAAATAAGAGGGATCATGAAAATTGCATTTCATTTAGTACTGCACTTCAGAAGCTACATAAATGTTACCCAAAAGACAAAATAAGGACAATTTACCCTGATCATGGAATTCAACAAGTTTACACCCCCCGGCTCTAAATGTATCTTGTTGCCTTCTTGAGCATCAGTAAATGTTTTCTCCTTTTGTAATTGTTATGTATGAGTCCCTCAATTGTCCTCAGAGTGAAAAGATGGATCTCAAAATCATACAGTCACTGCTGGAAAGGGTTCAGATATGCAGAAGATGCTGGAAAACCAAAGAATGTGCAGGAGCTGGAGGATTTTTCAGAAGAACAACGGGCTGTTGAACTGTTCAGGACAAAAAATGGACTCATGAACAACTATTACAAAACGTGGCTCATCCAGGAAATGACACACAGTATTAAGATTTAAGGGTAGGTAAACTTTTGAACGGGGTCATTTTTACAAATTCAGTTATTCATCCGTTATGTGAAATAGCTTATTCAAGACAGTACTAAATAAAAAATAACATGCAATTTTCATGATCCCTCTTATTTTGTTAAAATTATGAACACTTTGCATATTCTGCAAGGGGTATGTAAACTTACGTGCACAACTGTACATTCTTTCATATCACAAACAAGTTGTCACTTAGAGAAAAGTACAGAAAGAATGATTGTGTGTATTTTATCAGAAAAATCTACATTAAAATAAAAATAAATTAGAAAGACTTCAACATTAAAAGAAATACACACATACTGTATATATGTGTGTATATATATATATATATATATATATATATAGGTGATCAAATTTAGAGAACAATCTATAATTACTTGATTTCTTTTTAAATATTGTTAATCTTCATCACTCAAAATTTGAAGGAATATTAGATATATGTATACATACCACTGTTCTACTAACATGTTTGACAAAATATCCAAGGCATCTCAACAAAAACATTTATTTTGTGGAAAACACAGTGATCAAAATTAGAGAGTAACCACTGTAGCACAAAAGAAGATTACAACTACATTTGGAGGGTTACAGCTGTCAAAAATTAGTAGGACGTGTAGAGGCCTTGCTATGAATGACTTCCTGGTATGTTTTCAAAATCCTGGAATGTTTTCCTCAAAAACCTTAATTCCTTTGCGACTGAAGACAGAAAGACATGAACATCTTGGATGACATGGGGGTGAGAAAATTATCAGGAAACTTTTATTCTGGAAGTGAACTAATCCTTTCGTGTGAATTATACACTTCTTTTGTAATATTTACTTAGCTAGTTTCAGCTTTCGGTTTATTTGATCAGATTTCTGGCATGAGAGGTGGACCCAAGCTGGGTTAGTCAACATTGTTTTTGTGCTCAGCATTACCTCCACAGATTACATTCCACCATTGAGGTGAGGTTACAATCATGCCATTTAACTTTCATTCTGGGAAGAGTAAATATCTACAAACATCCTGTGAAATTGCGCATCACAAATCTGCTAAACATCAGACAGGCGGCTCTTTTCAAATCAGTCTGACGATGACATAACCCCCTTTATCAAAAGGCTGCGAATTTGCCTGAGACAATCCTATTTAGAGTTTAAAATTCAAGACAAAACCCTACCCATAGTCCTCAAAGAGCTTACGGAAAAAAAAAAATGCTGCACATCAGCCATAAAGTGATCAGCAGTTTCATGAAGTAGGTCAAGCTTTAAATGGGGATTATAAAACACACATAAAATGAGGCAATCCATTTGACAGCGTGTACCGCTTGCAGATGTGCCTGTGTGTATTTGTCAGAAAGATGAGTTCACATTTACACATGACAGACAGCTGAGCACAGCGCCACTCCGGCTCTGAGCTCTTATGTAAGAGGACAGCACTGGCCCAGCAGCACAGGATATACAAGAACATTCCAGTGATGTAACCCATCTGGCCCTTTGTCTACAAATGTGTCAGAGTGTAATTGTGCGTCTGTGTGTGCTGAAAATCACTGTGCAAAACACCTCAACAGCTGGATCCACTCAGCGCACGGTTCAAACTGAGATCATAACCGTTCTGACAAGTGACAACCGTTAAATTGAAGATTTACTAAGAGGCTCATCACTCTGAAAAAGACTTATCTATTCTACAAAAGTGGTGCCTGTACGAAGCTGGATATTAGATATTGTGATGGCAAAAACGGACTTTTCAGCAGCCATTACTCCAGTCTTTAGTGATCCTGAAGAAATCATTCAAATATACTGACTTGGTGCTATTCTTCAGGATTCTTTGATGGATAGAAAGTTCAAAAGAACAGCAGAGGGAAGAAAGCAATAGACCAATTATAGGTTTGTAAACATTCAGGATGCGCGCGCATTCATAGTTGCAGAAAACCCGGGAGAGCCTTTACGGCTAGAGAATTTCAAGGATACGGTACAAAATAGTTAGGTTTAAAAAGATTATAAATTATATTGATTAGATGTAATTTTCAAAATGTTCTCCGCATATTACAAGAGCTTGTCACCCAGCGATAAGCACCGTTATTCAACGAAATTGACGTTAGAGAGTGCGATAGTCTTACAGATCCGAAACAGGGTTGACATTTTTTGTGGGCGGAGCCTATCTGGAGGCAGAAAATGACGGTTTTCAAGTGGCAGTCTATGGAGCCATGGAATAAAAGAATAAAAAAAAAAGGTCAATTTGATTTTATATTTCAAAATTCTGACTTTATTCTCGCAACTCCGAGATTATATCTCACAATTCTAATAAGGAAAAACAACTCGTAATTCTCTCTTTTCCCCTCGGCTCTTCTGGCTTTTTTCCCTAATCATAACAGTTTTCATCCATAGTATGTCCATTTAAACATCTGCATTTAGCTTCAAATGGCGTCTTTGACGACAGTATTCTATAAAAATTATTTGCATTCCGATCTTGACATCAAAAGGCACAAAAATATTTTTTTCTTTTATTCCATGGATTTTACCCATTTACCTCCACTTGTTCCCAGTGTTTTTCTGCAACCACTATGCGCGCGCAGCTGCAAGTGACGTAACTGTGACGTCTACTCTGAATTGGTCTATAGAGATGTAGAGAGGGAGAGAGTGCTAGAATCTTATCAGACTCTTGTAATTGGCCGATAGCAGAAACTTCTAGAGATGAATGCGTGTTTCTCGTTCTCCTTTTGGGGAAGGAGTAGGACAGGAGAGAGGCTGAGGCAACTGCTACACGGCTATGCTATCTTCTATCTAATGTAAGCAAATGCATCTGCTTGAACTTATACAGTTTAAAGGTTCTGGTTCATTATTGTCAATAACTCAATACATCTCTTTTTCTTATGGCGCTCACGAGAGTCATCGGACTCAGAAAACCTACCGTGATCAATGAGCCATGCCATGCACAGGGAATTCAACTTCTCGTCGAAGAACTCCACTCCCTAGAAACAAAGTTGAATATAGTTACAACCCGTAGAGTTTAAAGGAATTATTCACCCATTTCTCATTCTCATGCATTTCCAAATCAGTCTGTCCTTTTCGGAGCTTAACAGGACAGTTCACCTAAAAATGAAAATTCTATCAACATTTACTCACCCTTAAGTTATTCTAAACCTGTATGAGTTTCTTTTTTTTATGCTGATCACAAAGAAGATATTGGAAGAATGTTGGTAATCAGCTGACAGCAACTATTGACTTTCAAAGTATGGAAAAAATACTATGAAATTTAGTCAATGGCTACCGTCAACTGTTCAGTTACCAACATTCTTCCAAAATATATTTTGTGTTCAACAGAAGAAAGAAATTCATACGGGTTTGGATTGGAACAACATGAGGGTAAGAAAATGATGACAATTTTTGGGTGAACTATCCTTTCCCATCCAGATACAACTATTCGATCTTGACTGGAGCACAGACTCACCAGTTGGCCAGCCAGCAAAGGCATGTACTCAATGATGGCCAGTCGAACCCTCCACTTGGCATCCTCAGCCAGCTCTACTATAGCTGGCAGCAAAGACTGAGAGAGCTGCCGAATCCCGATCACCTCATTCACGCAGTCCAGATTAGAGATGATGTTCAGACGCACCTCGGGATACTACAGGAAAATACGGAAAAATTATATTTAAAAAAATATTTAATATTCTTTTTTTTTTTAATCAGTTGCAGACCAGGACACTAAAGGAAAATAAAACATTCTGATTTAAAGGAGACATATTGTGCCCCTTTTTACAATATGTAATATACTGCAAGTCTCTGGTGTCCCCAGAGTGTGTCTGTGAAGTTTCAGCTCAAAATACTCCACAGATCATGTATTATATAACTTTGAAAATGCCCTTTTTGAATGGAAGCAGAAAAACGCTGTTTTTCGGGCCTGTGTCTTTAAATGCAAATGAGCTGCTGCTCCCTGCCCCCTTTTCCAGAATAGAGCTGCGCCATTACAGCTCGCACCTGCTAAAAAACATCTGTTTTGGTTCTGATTATCATGATTATCGTGCTGAAATCATGCGTTTTAAACCATATTAGTTTAAACTTCTGATATACAGTTTTCTGAGCGCACACATCCGAAGCACATGGACAGAAAGTGGCTGTCACAGCATGTGAGTACTAAACTAAGTTCTCGTTCACAAACAAGTTTACGTTAAAAACACACGAGTTACAAAAAACAGTCGGTTATGTCTGTGAAGGTAAACAGCTGGGAAATAAATCACATGTTTATTTTAGATCTGTGTGGCATCAGCAATATACAGTAAATAAATCAATAAATCCACTGCTCTGTTGTCTCCTCTGAGGCTGGGACTCTGAACAGTGTTCTGTGCTCGTCTGTGCAGCCAAAGACAGAACACTTAGCATGTTCTGCTCAAACTTTCGCCATGGTATTAGAACTGGTACACCGTTGTCGCTTGCGAAAACACAACAACGGCGCCGTGGGTGTAAACTTACAGATTAAGGGGCGGTAATATTATAATGAGATCCCTTTGCCACATCACCAAGGGAGTGAAATCAGATGTGCTCGTTTTCTCAGACGCTTGCAGAAAAAGGCTTCCCAAAACAAAGTTACTGGGTTAATCTTTTTCACGTTTCCTTGGTTGGTAGATGCACTGGGGACCTGATTATAGCACTTAAAACCTGGAAAAGTCAGATTTTCATGATATGGCACCTTTAAAATGATATATACACTACATTATGTATTAATATATAGACATACACACAAACACTATATTAACATAAGGAATAACATTAAGAAGTTTCAACACTGATGAAACTTGCAGAAAATGGCCATACACAATAAATAAATGTGTATAAAAGTGTTCTTTAATACACAATAAATGTGTATTAAAGAAAGTAAACATGGACATTGTTTTTATACTTTTAAAGTCCCCATAACTACTTCTAAGAATGAACTTTACTGAAAGCAAAGGATCTCCATCTTTATATTTTCCTTAAATGGCTCCAGAAGGACGCCACACTCATGTGATATTGTTACAGCGCACGCATACATGCTGCCAAATATCTGATGACTTGCTTGAGCAAGTGCACTTTGGTGATGACTGACTAAAGTCCAAACAACAAAGTTTGTTAGTCAAACAGAGCCGGACGGATAAGCAGCCAATGGAAATACACTCCAGGACAGAATTCACAGAATCAAGCTCTTAACATTTTCTGATCTTGTGTTTGACAATTGAGAGGAGTCCAATAAAACAGAAGGGAACACAAACACTGGAGGAAAGAGTTTGGATGGACTTCGGTTTTGGCATGGTCTTGCTGAAAACTGAGGCCAAAGTTCAACTTCATTTAAAAACAGTCTAAGAGTTTATTACTACAATCTAAAAGCTAACACGTCTCACAGAGTAGTCATGGATAGGAGCCCAATCAAAGGAACATCAACCAAGGACTTCAATCAAGGATAATTTAGCAAACAGCCCTTAAGCCCAACACAAGGTGACCTATCAGACCTGGAAAATGAGCAGCTGTGTCTCTGCTCTAGTACAATCAGAAGGATCTTTGGCCACAAGAGAAAGCGAGACAGACAGGTGAGAGACTGGGCCGAGCTCCAGGTGGGTTACCTCGTCTTTCAGTTGGACCAGGAAAAGAGGTAGCAGATGTTCTACGGTGTTGTCCTTGCCCAAGATGGTAGACAGACCCATGATGACAGAAGCCAGGGCAGACTTTACATGCTGGTTTGTGTCAGACACCAGCTCCTGTTAAGGGAAGAGAAGGAGGCTTGAGGCCTTTGAAATCAAGGTATTCTTCTACAAGTAGCTGTAATCAGAGAGAAGGTGAGTGTAGGACAGAGGAGAAAAATAAATGAATATGCTACAACAACAACAACATAAAAAATAGGCGCTGTATAAATAAAAGCTTACTGTTAAAGTAGTTGTTACTATTATTCTTCTTCATTGTTATTCATAGCAGCAACAAAAACAACAGTAACAGGACCATTTGTATTGTCAGAATTATCATTATTAACAATTTATTATTATTATTACTAACATCCATAAAATATTATTATTAACAGCAGCAACAACATTTCTTGTTAGTACTATAATTAATAACTATTCATTGTTTTAATAATAACGAATAATAATAATTATTATTATTGTTGTTGTTATTATCAGAAACAAGATATTTTACTATTGCTAATTTTACTATTAATAGCAACAATAATGACAAGATAATATTTACAATTATTATTATTATTATATAACAATTATTATCATCATAATTTTCATTATTAGATAATAATTGTTACTACCATCACTACTGTTATTTATATACTACATATTCTATCTATCTATCTATATATATATATATATATAGTCAAACCAAAAATTATTCAGACACCAGATATAATGTTTTTATATTTTTTTACTAGTGCGTGCAGGACACTATAGTTCATTTATGTAAGTGAGGATAGCAAAATAAAGTAAACTGTGACATACCCAAAAATTCTTCATACAGTAGACTAACAGTAAAATTGATAAATATTTGGGACCAAAAATTATTCAGACACTTTGACTGTTATCTGACATTATCCAGATGAATTTATTCACAACATTTCTTGTTAGTACTATAATTAATAACTATTCATTGTTTTAATAATAACGAATAATAATAATTATTATTATTGTTGTTGTTATTATCAGAAACAAGATATTTTACTATTGCTAATTTTACTATTAATAGCAACAATAATGACAAGATAATATTTACAATTATTATTATTATTATATAACAATTATTATCATCATAATTTTCATTATTAGATAATTGTTACTACCATCACTACTTTTATTTATATACTACATATTCTATCTATCTATCTATATATATATATATATATATATATAGTCAAACCAAAAATTATTCAGACACCAGATATAATGTTTTTATATTTTTTTACTAGTGCGTGCAGGACACTATAGTTCATTTATGTAAGTGAGGATAGCAAAATAAAGTAAACTGTGACATACCCAAAAATTCTTCATACAGTAGACTAACAGTAAAATTGATAAATATTTGGGACCAAAAATTATTCAGACACCAGATATAATGTTTTTATATTTTTTTACTAGTGCGTGCAGGACACTATAGTTCATTTATGTAAGTGAGGATAGCAAAATAAAGTAAACTGTGACATACCCAAAAATTCTTCATACAGTAGACTAACAGTAAAATTGATAAATATTTGGGACCAAAAATTATTCAGACACCAGATATAATGTTTTTATATTTTTTTACTAGTGCGTGCAGGACACTATAGTTCATTTATGTAAGTGAGGATAGCAAAATAAAGTAAACTGTGACATACCCAAAAATTCTTCATACAGTAGACTAACAGTAAAATTGATAAATATTTGGGACCAAAAATTATTCAGACACTTTGACTGTTATCTGACATTATCCAGATGAATTTATTCTGACACACTTTAACTCTTGAGTTCTTGTCATATTTTATTACCATTTTCTAAACTATAGCGAATAAACTGTGATAATGTGTGAAATGTTAAAGGTGGCTGAATACATTTTGGTTTGACTGTATACATGTAGTAAATAAGTAATTCTATCTACTTTATAAACAATACAGCAACAAGCCACTCTAACAGCTCACCTACACTATTACTGAAAAAAACTCAAATGCATCTAGAATTGTTTTGGAATCAGATCATGACTCCCTAAACCATTTCATTAAGTGTCTGAATAGCTCTCACACCCATCACTGGGGTCTTTGAAGAAAGGCAGCATCACAGCGATGAAAGCGAGATCCATTTGAGCCTGAACACCTGGACATTTATTTGCTTGTAAAATGCTGCGGAGGGTCTGAAATCCTGCGTTATCTTTGATCTGATGTTTCAGTGAACAGCTTGTATGTATAGGCTAACTGCCGATCACATCTGCTGACAAAGTAAGCAGAAAGCTGTTTGTATCTGTGAGGAATGATCCGCTTACATAAGCTTATTAACAGATATCAAACATCAAGTCATGAGACTCTCAGGCCACTCATGAGCAAAGAACGCCTTGTGAAGCTCAAGCAGGCACACCGAAGGGCTCCACTGTTCTTTGTAGTCTATATCAGTAAAAGAGAGGCTTGTCCCAAACCGTCCTCTAGTCTTAAATGCCATTTCCATAAGACAATGACTATAAATAGAAGGTTAAAGACCAAACGTTATATTACACCATATGTTAAGTAGGTATCGCAGGTAAATCATTCTTTTGAACAGACTGATTCCATTCTCAAATCACTTGAACTACGGCCTTATAAAACATACCTCAGCAATCAACTAAATCACCATAGCTACTACAGTGAAATCTTAACTAAACTAATATGGGAACCTTTTTATTTTTGTGACTAATATATATATCTATCTATCTATATCTATATCTATATATATATATATATAACTACCACAGCTTCACAATATTTTGGCAGAAAATATAGTTACAACATTTTAAGTGTCACATATATTTTTTTAATTTCTTACAGCAGTATATCGTCAAAATGTATTTAACTACTAATGGCACACAAAACTGCCTAATGAGAACTTCTTGGAAGCGACTTAATTCATATATGATGGTGAATATTTTTGAAACCAATTCACGATTACAAACCATTTTAAAAGGTAAAAAAATGTTGCGTTTCATTTTAATCAGCTGAAAGAGATTAAGCAAATTTGTTTAAAGAAAATCAAAAATTTTCACATTTCTTAGATTCATTTGCATTCCCATACGGCCTTTCTTACAAACTCTATTTAATAGTAAAATATTTTTAGTAATACACATCTTTTAGACTTCCCATGGTTAATATGATGGCAAGCTAAGGCTATATACGGTAAAACTAAACTCCATTAATATAAAATGCCATTTCACTTCCTCTAGCACTATGATTCAGTCAGTCACAGCCATACATCAGGAAATAAAAATAATATAAATCTATTCCTAGGCTGATGCTACAGTAAATCTACAGACAGACAGCTGACATGGGATCACTTACGGGTGTAACAGAAAACAACAGTGACCCCTGCTGCCCATCACCTCAGAAAGGACGGACAGTTCAACAACAAGCCACTCTCACCTGCTGATGATGTCCTAAATAGGAGTAAACTTTGATAATCTGTACAGATGGGGCGTAAACCTCAGTCTGCATATATTTATGCATGTTTAATGTATGAGCTAGATTACTGCATGTGTATGAAACAATGATTCTGTCATAAAGCTACCACTTGTTTGTGTCGAAAATGTAAACACCCCCAAAATAACAGAAAAACAACCAGACCTATTGCAAGAACTCTTGCAGAGACAACTTGGATACCTTCCCAGATATGATATCATATTATCAAAAAACAAACTCGAGTTTTCTAAGTACCTCCTCCTGAGAACTTGGCTGGTACCATGCGGCATAACTGTTCAGCCACACACAATTTCATAAACAAGTGGGCGAGATTAAAATGTGTACCTTGACGCATGGCAGAATATGAGTCATGATGATGGTCTCCCTGCTGTCTTCAGGCAAACTTTCACAGAATACTGCAGAGATAAACAGGCCATGGGATAAGGGTGTTGTTGTGTGGCTGTTTTCATACAGATATCAGACTTTGGGAAGCTTGCAGTGGGACACCTCACCTTTCACCTTGTTGGCAGCAGCAGTTCGGACCTCTGCCTCGCAGTCTTTCAACAAGTTCTGGAACGCCGGGACCAGATCGTTCTTGGTGATCTCTGGGCCAACTGCTTTTTGCAACTTTACACAAACAGAAAAACAACCAGAGTTCTTTCAGAGTCTCAGAGGCTACGTGGATAACAGCCAAATATGCGTTTCATAAGTACCCACTTCTGAGAATTTGTCTGCCACCATGTAGCGCACCCTCCAGGACTTATCCTCGGCGGCCTGGCGTAAAGTGGGCATGACCAGATCCTCCAAGTCTTCCTGTGGCAGCAGAGCAGCAATGCTGACACCAGCTTCTACCGCCAAGAGACGCACAGAGTCCTGCAGAGAAAAGAAAATGTCTGGATCAATGACAAATAAATATCTTAATATCAAGTTCAAAATGCCAAGTTCTTAGAAATGTCATTTTTATATTCATGTTGGATTCAAAAAACATGCATACAATTTTCAAGAAAAGCTCAAATTTAATGACTCTAAAACATGTAGTGTAACCGTCAAGGGAAAAAAAATCTTGCATCTTTTTTTTTTTTAAATACATTTCTTAATCTTTCATATCATTATTTAAAATTGTTCAAGTGCAAAGATCATGAAATATCAATTCAATTCTTTAAAAAACTCTTGTCAGACCTGCCAATGGCTGGTGACTTCAGACAATTCACCAGCCATAAATATTTTTTACCAGCCATGAAACTGTTTGTGCGTGATTTCATAAACAAATTGGGGCAAAATCTAATAGCAGACTTTATTACTAATAATATTTTTATTTATTAATAATACTTATTATTTAATGAAGGTATGTTTGTTGTTGAATTTAAATGTATTGCCATGTCAGTTTCACTGACTATTTTTTATTAGAGTAAAAAAAATGCAATCAATAAAGAAATATAATAATAATAATAATAATAATAATGAGTATTTAATATTAATTCATATAATAGTAATAATAATAATAGTAATAAATTATAATAATTATTACTATTATTATTAAAACTACAATACTAATATTTACGTTTGTTTTCTTCTTTGCTCTTAAAGGTTAAACCATAGAGCTTTTATTTTGATGGAAAACCACACGGAACCTTCTCTTCTGAAAACCCAGGCAAAAAAACAAAAAAAAACAAACCAAGCTTCATGTCACTGACCAACCACTAGCCCCCACAAACAGTCTTTCTACATGCAAATGTGTACCAGTGTACCTGCTCATCAGATGCTAGTGCTGTAAAGAGAGGAATGATGTCACTCTTAACATAGTCCAGCTCCAGAACCTTCGCAAACTCGCCAAGCTTAGACGAGGCAGCTCGACGCACCATGGGAGTGTCGTCCGAGCAAAGTGTGCGGAAGTGCCTGTGAAGACAACCATAACGTTAAATACTGAACATGACCGCAGTGATCAAGGTGCTTTCAAAAGTGTGCGTCATGACTTACTGACGGATTTCCGCTTTAACAGTGCTGGACACACGTGGGTAGCAGACGCCGAACAGCCCGCACGCAGACGTTCGGGAGGTGAACCAGTCCCCGCTGGCCAAACGCTTCACAAGTGGTACAAAATGCACCTCTAGGTCTACGGGGGAATGTTCCTGAGAGATCTTTCGCAGAGACTCCACGGCCTTGTCCCGCACAACCGTTTCCTCCACTGTGGCCAAACTCTCCAGGGGAGGCTGAGGAGAAAAAGCAGTGCAAGATGAAAACACATAGAGAGGGGTCTCAACTTCAGAAAACCCATGGTTAATATCTGATCTGATCATTTTTAATTAAGTAACCAAATTCCTCGCCTTTAATGACTTACCAAGAGACAGTGCACAAACTCTGGGCCTCCAACCAGTACAGTGAAGCTCCCGAGCTGCTCAGCCAAGGCCAGAAGAACTTCATCCTCATCATATATGGTGTCTGCAGATGAAGGGATGTCAGTTAGCTAATTGACATTTAGGTAAGTAATACTAACCAAAAGCAAGTGTAACAGACTATGGTCTTTGCAAGAACAACAAATGGTCAATAATCAACATGACAATTAAAAAAAAAAAAAAAAAAAAAAATTTTTTTTCTTCCCACGCATTTCATTACAATAGTTGAACATCTAATACAATTAGTTGTTCAAATTATTTTTGGACGTAATAATAGTTTTATAAAAAAACTAACATAAAACCTAATTAATATACCAAAGGATTGCAACAAAAGAAAACTCAGTATGATTCGAATACAATTAGTTGTTCAAATTATTTTTGGACGTAATAATAGTTTTATAAAAAACTAACATAAAACCTAATTAATATACCAAAGGATTGCAACAAAAGAAAACTCAGTATGATTCACAGGGCTCAATGTGTGCATGCATTACAGCTGCATTAAATGAAAATTCACCCCATCTGTTTTCCAAATGCATGTTATTGATCTTTTATAGCGAATGATTTATGCATCCCTTGTAAATTAATTAAAGTGTCTTGATCTTCTGATGAAAAGGCAGACTCTGGTGACATATGCAGGACGTCTCCAATCATTTTGTCCACTTAAACCCCGTCTAGACAATCAACTGCAAGCTTGCATTCACATATTCATTATTGCAAATTAAAATCCCAACAAATTTGCTGCAATACTTAATCGTTAACATAGAAAAAAACAATACATTAAATATAAATATATTTTCTATAATACAAAAAAATGGCACTAAATAAATGTTTTAATATTATCAAATGAAAATGATTTACCAGGCCAGGTAAATAACTGAACTACTTGTCCAACTAGCACAAAAAATAACATGTTGATGAGCCGTGATTAACAAACAAAAGCTAGGATCCATTTAAAAGTTCATTTATTTCAGAAATACAGATGGTGGGATTTCTTACCAGTAAGGAAGGGCAGTAGTTCAGTCCGTGTTCTTTCCACTCCCAGAGCAAGAGCAATAGTGGACAACTTCTTAATACTGTTAAGCCGCAACTGAGGATGTGCACAGAATTACATTAATAGTCACATTAAAAAAATTACGCCTTACAAAACCCTGTCTTACATTTACTGTTACGTTTCATTGATTTAAGCATAAAAATGCAGGTCAGTGGCTCTCATCCATGGTACTGGAGGACAGTTAAGTACCTCTCCTTAACTTAACACACATCTTTAGTAGAGGCTTCGAAACCTGACCTGGGTGTGTCAGCTAAAGAAGACATCAAAATGTGCAGTGCCCGGGGCCTGTGGGACTAGGATCGAGATCCATTGACCTGGATCATGACCAAATGACTGGCATCCTAGTGTAGACATTATTAATACCCCAAGAAAAATGTTGAGAACCAGCCGGTCAATTTCACGCTTATTATGTCCGGTATGCTTTATTTTATAGCTCAAATAGACATCTAAAAAAAATTAATGCACGTTGATCATTTTCTGGAAACAATTACAAGAGAGAATATCGAGGAAACAAACTAAGGAGAAGAAAAAGCTCTTTCTCTTGTAAATGAATCGCTTGCAACAAACCAAGGTTAGCGGGGAGTGATGGAAGGTGCTATTCATTCATATACATATGAATCAAACTCGGACTCTCTTAGGCTAAAGTCTACCTGAACATCTTCATTCCTCAATTCATCGATTAAAACCGCGATGGGATAAAGCGAATCGTCTCCCTCTGCTCCTGCCATTTTAGACCTGGATGATCCACTGCAGACTGCAGAGGCGTTGTGTTGTGCCGCTCGGTCTCCGCTCGACGCGCGGGCTGATGGGAAAACACCCGACAAACTTAAAGTCCAGTTACAAATCATAACCACATGTGCAAATAAAATGCATGTAAATACATGTCAAATTAAATAGAGCAAAAATAAAAATAGCATGAAAGGATACATTGATTTCATATAAAAATTATATAGAACTAATCAGTTGTAATATAATGGGGGGGGTGTTTATGAGTAAAATTTTATAAAGTCATGCCTCAAACGTACATTTTGCAATCAGTGTGACTACAACCACTGATCTATAATAGAAAACATTATAGATATGTCATTAAATAACGTATCAGTGACTACAACGTTCAACTGAGGCACATAAACTCAAATTCATGTGGTAGTTGTAAGTTAGTCATATAGAAACAGGATAGCAAATACACAGCAGCTTTGAAATTCCCGTTTGAGGAATGAAAATTAACAGCTAACTGGCGGGGAAAGATTCAGAACACTTGGACTGTAGCGCATGAGTCATATTGTAGTATTTTTTTAGAATACTTTTGTGCTTTTGCATACTTTTGAGGTTTGAACACTCCGGTTCCAGTTCCCATTCATTCAAGCGACCACTAAAAATGCTGGTGCCGAACAGAGGAAAGAAAATAATGAGGAGGTTTGGAATGAAATGATGACAGAATTTTCATTTTGTGTGAACCGTCCTTTAAAAGTTCTTAAGCTACTGATTGAAAGGTCTAGTTGTATACTGGTCAGTACTTCTGTATTATTATTTTTGAAAACACAAACATATTAAGATTTATTTATTTATATAAAAATTAAATCTGGAATTCTTTATTTTGACAGTTTTATTATTTCTGTTCATTCCAATGATATCAAAACAGAAATAATATGAAATATCCACATTCTGTTTAGTTCGGTATATGACCCTAAAGAGCATCCAGAGGATGGCTGTCAGCTGTTAATAATCAAGTAGCTGGAGGCCACTCCGAATGACGTCAAGCATTCCTCCCTCACATCAAGCTCTCTCTCATCCAGCCCTGCTCCAGATCGCCTGTATACTCTCTCCTCAGATGCCTCCCTCATATTTTCCACCCTGAGCTTATTAATGTTAGAACACGATTCCTGTACTCTCTCCTCAAAGGTCCAGGCCCCTCCAGGTGTGCTCAGACCACCCTTGGCCCTTGTTGTTCATATAACATCAAGCTAAGCTCTTTCATGTGCACCACACTTTTAGAAACCACTGGGAAGGAAAAGATTCAGCTTGCACCCCCTACGCCCTCATTTCAAGGATAAATATGATCCTAAAGTACATGCATACTTGTGCATAGCGACAGTGTCTGGTTCACATATGGGAAAACCTTAATACTTTATGCTACAGGAGTGCAGGGGTAATTGTGACACTTGGTTTTTGCAAATCTGTTCAGAAAATATTTAGCCTAAAAATTTCACATTTTGCCTCAAACATCTTGGACATGTCAGTTAAATTAAAGTAATAGTTCATCCAAAAATGCAATTTTGCTGAATATTAAATGAAGTTGTTTCATCGGAACATATTTGGAGAAATGTAGCATTACATTTTACTTACTCGCCAATGGATCCTCTGGAGTAAATGGGTGCCGTCAGAATGAGAGTTTATAAACACACTGATAGAAACACAATAATCCACAAGTATTTGTAATAAACAAGTCAATCGTTAAGATGTCTATAATAAAGCTTCCTCCAGTGAAAAAGTCCATACCCTGTTGTCTTCTCACATCAAAATCCACTAACATTTTTGTTTAGAACAGTTTTGGACTGTTTTCACTTGTAAATGGTGGTTGATCTGTGCATATTTCTCTCCTGATTCAGACTAGATTACTTTTTCACTGGAGACAGCAATAATGATAGAGGACTCGCATTGTAGCCGGAAAGAACAGTTTGAAGTTAAAACATCTTAATGTGATGTTTTTATAAGCTGTTTGGACTCTCATTCTGACGGCACCCATTCACTGCAGAGGATCCATTGTTGAGCAAGTGATGTAATGCTAAATTTCTCCAAATCTGTTCCGATGAAGAAACAAACTCATCTACATCTTGGATGGCCTAAAGGGTGAGTCAATTTTAAGTAAAATTTTCATTTTTGGGTGTACTATTCCTTTAAGAGTGCAAAAAATTGTCCTGGGACATGTGAATTTTAGCAGAGGCGCTGTATTATGCAATAAATTGTTACGGATGTTACATTTACACCTACAAGACGATGTGTTATATTTCCATTTTTACTTTTCTCTGGGTATATGAGGATACACCAGTGTCTTGGATACTCATAAATTGCATAAATTACTTCATCATGTCTGATTAGATGTTGTGCTTGAACTGTTGCTTTATAAGTACAGTCATTACCTGGAAAAGAACATTTGTTCTTTGAATTAATCCCCTTGTGCTTTCTTGTTTCCTGATGTATTGCTCAAAATATACATGGGAGAATCCTGACATGCAATTTTCTGCAATTTTACAGTTAAATTTTCACAGCTAAGATTTCATTTAGTGTATGTACAATTACTACATATATACTGATGAAAAAACATACGATTGTTAAAATCACAGTACATTTGCCAAACTGACAAACACATTAACTGCAAACAGATGAACCTATCCTGGTGGATATGATGTCAGCAGTTAATTGGATGAATGTTCATCCAGTGTAAATACATTTAGCCTCACACCTCAACCACAGACATCACTGTTCGCTCGACTTCTAGACCACAGACCACCAACTTATTGTGAATGACTCATGCCTGAAGATGTAGGCTGGTGTCAGGTTACAATTTAGACTGAACGGTGCTGGTGATCACCATTCAAACGGCACACGGCTGTCAGGGTCAATATTATAGATGAGTATTGTACATTGTCTGCATACAATGAGCATGATGTTGGTGAGTCATTTTTCAAAAATAGCTAGCGCCCTAATAAGCAAGTAGGCACGGTGAGGAAAAACAACGCAAAGGAAGAATGGTGGCTCAGGGTCACAGGAAAAGGAGAACAGACGTAGGTAAAGAGTTCCTTGACTTATCATAATATGGTCAGTTTTTGAACTGAATGAAACCTTTCTTGGTACATTGTCACTTGGAGTTATTATAGTGGAAAACACCCAGAAACTATTTATGTACTGTCCTTATTCTGAATAACCATTGCTGTTAACACTTCTTCACTGGAGACCAAATCCTGACATTCAGATGCAATGTACATGAAATGGACTGTTACTTTTAAATGACACACAGTTTTACAGTAAATCTAGCCCACTTTACAATTTCTGGTTACAAGAATGTTCTGGGAACATTAGTTTTGGTTCTCAGAATATATATATAAATATATATAGATATATAGATATATATATATATTGGTTAGCTAGGAAGTTTTTTTTACTGAAATAAAGAACATTCAACTAACATTCTGTAAACATTTTGCAATTTTACAAAAAAAAATTTGTTACAAAACAATAGTTGATTGCTTTTACACAAAAATGGCCATGTTCAAATAGATGCTATAGTCAATCTTGCAACATACCGATATGAATTTATGATCAACAAATATTATTGAGCAAATCAAATTTCTCTTTAAAACTAAATCCATATCTGGACTCTCAACATCACTCAAGAAACATGTTTGATATGGTCTGTTTTTTATGAAATCATAATGCAGTTCCACATTAATTTAAGCCCATGTACCATTTTTGGTCACCACAACATTCTGTGAATGCTTATTTTTTGGTTCTTAGAGCATTTGAGGCTCTTTTTTTGGTTAGCCAGAAAATATTTTTTACAGAAACAGGAAGGATGTTCCACTTACATTCAGTTAACCATTGGGCAAACATTTTTCAACTTAACATCACAAATGATTTTTCTTTTACAAAACAACTTTTCACAAAAGATGAGCATTAGACACACAATAGTTCACACAAAGACAATCATATTCAAGTAGGCAACAACTAGTTGCTACTTGTTAAAATGAATTTAAGATCAACAACAACACCATATTCATGCACTTCTCCACACTGAAATGCTAATAACACATTGCAGAGTCTTCCAGAGCAGAGCACTTTAGTACTTTTCAATCATCCGTCAGATGATGCACATCCAACCTCCCCCTCCTATTTGCAAAGCTTATAAAAGTGCGTCGCTCTGTTTGTTTGACGTGAACTGGGAGAAGATGTGAGGAGAGACCTGAAACAGAGCAGCTGCTGCCACAGACCAATTAGCTGGAGGCTTTCTATGCTCTTCCGAATCAATTACTGCAGCCATTTAGCAGCAGAAGAGGCAGACTATGGGCTGAGCTGACACTCGCTGACGTCAAACCTGTCGTCCCATAAGGCTCTGCAGGCGGAGGTGTGATAACAGGGATGTGAAAGTGAGGGAGGGCAGGGGGTTTACTGCTCAAATCAAAGCTTCTTGAAAGCTCTGAAAGCTGTTTTCCTCCCTGGATCATACATCCATTTCCTTCTCCTTTTTCTGAGTATGGCATGCATTGACGTCACGCCGAAAGGCCTATCAGTGTTTAACAGAGGTGATGGAGAAGCATAGTGCCACTGATGGGTGTTTTGGGGCCAGAATGTGCCCTGGGTTATTTTGAACTGAACACAAGGGACTTGTTGCTCAAACCCCTTTTATATTATTAAACAACACAGCAGAGTGTGATGTTTGAGGCAAAGGTGAGGCAATTGCTGTTATGAAACCCAGGCTGTAATAAGGTTATCTGTCTGGTCCAATTTTTACTACCACTAGAAACTGCCTAACAACATGCTAAAACCCACTCAGAACTCCTTAGCAGCCACTTAGAAGAAATGCTTTAATCACCCAGAACACACTAGCAACTGCATAGCATTATGCTAAAAACTGCTCAGAACACCTATGTTGCATCCGAAATCGAATACTTCCATACGAAAAACAGTATGCCAAAAGAGCAGTATGTCAGAATTCATAGTATTCTAAAAACAGTAGGCGAAAACTACCTGGATGACCTGCTACTTCCACCAGGATTCTGAAGGGGTGCGTTTTCCCAAAAAGCATTGTTA